TGGTGCCTAGAGATCATCATTTGTGTTTTCTCAGGTGCAAATGTTACTTGCTATCTATTTCCCCAAGCTGATATAGCTCTGAGCTGGTGATTGATGTAGCTTAGAGCAGCTGGCATTTCTTCTCTTGGATAAGTGATTGTTAGTGTACAGTCGTCTGCATATGCATGGGATTCTGGGATGAGATGAAGGTCATTGAAGTAGACATTCTGTGACAATGGTCCCAGAACACTTCCTTGTGGAACACTTGCCCCAGTTGGATGTCTTGCTGATTCTGTTCCATTGAGAACTACCCTTAGAGATCTACCATGAAGGTAATCACTGAGGATACATAGCATAGAGCCTGCAGTTCCCAGAGCTTGAAGTTTTGCTAAGAGGCCCTGGTGCCACACCTGGTCGAGAGCACAAGCAATGTCCAGTGCTACCACACAGCTGACTTTGGATTCATCCAGTGACTGGTGCCACTTAGTAGAGAGGTTTAACAACAGATCAGCAGCAGAGTAACCTTTCTTGAAGCCATATTGATGGTCACAAAGTAGTGAGTGGTAGTCAAAAAACTCTGTCATTTGTCTTGAGATTATTGTCTCAAGGAGCTTGGCAGTGACTGGCAGGAGTGACATTGGTCTGTAGTTGCTGATTTTTGCTCTGCTCTTCTGTTTGTGAACAGGGACTACATTTGCCTCTTTCCACAGAGAAGGCCATTTACACTGTACTAGGCAGTGCTGAAAGATGCGAGTTAGAGGTGCTGCTAGCTGGTCTGCACATCGTCTCAGCAATCTTGGGCTCAACTTGTCTGGGCCCACAGCCTTTTCTTGGTCAAGCGATTTAAGAAGGAAATGCACCTTTTCCTGCCTTATTGTCACCACTGACAGTTTTGACACAGTTCTTGCAGCTAGCCAAGGAGGGTCCCTTGCTGGATCAGGAACTTGCATTTTGGTAGCAAAGTGTTCAGCAAAGAGGTCCGCTTTCTCTTGACTACTAGTAGAGGTGGTCCCATCCTGTCGATTTAGAGGTGGAATGAGTTCATCAGGTAGATAACCTTGTCTGTTCTTGACCAGGGACCACCAGGTTTTGGAGCCTACCCTTCCTGATGCTAGCTTTCTTCTTGTGCCCATCTCCCATTTAGCAATGACCCACTTTTGAACATCACCCATATGCTTACAGGCTTGCCTGTGAAAGTTCCTGTTATAGGTGGTAGGATGTCTCTTATACCTTCGCCTTGCCTTGTACTTAGCAGTAGCAGCCTCTCTACAATGCAAGCCAAACCAAGGCTGATCTGTAGGCTTCGCCACATATTGCCGATGAGGAATGTGTTCTTCTTGTAGATTAAGGATGTGTCCAGTGAAGTCTCACTTGGTTGTCAACATCCCCTCAGAGCAAAGGGCTGGCCAATTACCTCTTTCCCATAGCCAGGTTGTGCATGTGGACTCCTCACCTCGTTCTGTTGGAACTTAAGTGTCATAAAAACAGCCTTGTGGCCAGATGATCCAACGTAGCCGAGGGGCTGACAAGTGACTATACCTTCTGCTAGATCGCTCACTACTGGGTCAAAGGAGGAGCCAGAGATGTGAGTAGGGAAATCAACAAAGTTTCTCATGTCAAATACTGCAAGAAGGTCATCAAGGTCCCTTTGTATAAAGTGTTGGTTGAGGTCACCAACAATTATGATATGTTGACAGTTGTGTTGTAGCAGAAGGGAGTCCACATTTTCCATTAGGAAGTTGATGGGGTCTGCATGTTGCCACTGAGGTCTGTACATGGCACATGCTAGTACAGAGGTACTAGTGTTTATGCATAGCTTGAAGAACATCATTTCAAGATGAGTAGGGATGGCAACATAAATGTGCTGGGTATGTACACTTTTAGAGAAGCACACAGCAACACCTCCTCCTTGCCCTTGCCTGTCTTTTCTCATCCATGAGGTGTAGCCAGCAATTCTTGCAAAATTTTCTGGAGTCCTGTCGTCCAAAAATGTTTCAACAACAGCTATCATTTAGGGACGTCAAGTGTTCATAAAACTGTGTGTGAGCTCTCTAACATTAGTAATGAAACCTCTAATGTTGGCTGACAGGATGCTGATAGACTGGCTCCTCATGATGTGGTCAGCTTGAGGTGGTGGGTGTGTAAGGCATGTAAGGTGCCTGTCCTTGAGAGAGGTAGGGCACTGAGGCAGCTGCAGGGATGTAGGTCTGTGGTCTTGTATAAGGCACAATACCACCTGCTGGCCTGAGATAGGAGTAGCTGAGTGGGTGATGTGTGAGTGTGTTCACCAAGTGAGAAATCCTGCTGGTTTGTTCCGAGAACAGGTCTAAACAGGTGATCCTGTCTGTCAAGTTCCTTTTTCTTCCAACACTGGTCCTCCTGATGTCCTTTCTTATGGCAGTAACTGCACCTGGTATCTCGCAGGCAGTTGTTAGTGGTGTGCCCCTTCCGGTGACAACGAGAGCACTGCCACTGTCTCTGTCTGTCTGTCTCTCTCTCTCTCTCTCTCTCTCTCTCTCTCTCTCTCTCTCTTCTCTCTCCTCTCTCTTTTCTCTCTTCTCTCTCTCTCTCTCTGTCTCTCTTCTCTTCTCTCTCTGTTTTTCTCTCTGTCTCTCTGTCTCTTCTCTCTGGTCTCTTCTCTGTCTCTGTCTCTTCCTCTGTCTCTCTCCTCTGTCTCTTTTTCTCTCTCTCTCTCTCTCCTCTGTCTCTTTTCTCTCTTTTCTTTTCTTCTCTCTTCTCTTTTCTCTTTTTTCTCTTTTCTCTTCTCCTCTCTCTTCCCCTTCTCTCTCTCTCTCTCTTTTCTTTTCTTCTCTTCTCTTCTCTTTTCTTCTCTCTTCTCTTCTCTCTCTCTCTCTCTCTCTCTCTGTCTCTCTCTCTCTGTCTCTCTCTCTCTGTCTCTGTCTCTCTGTCTCTTCTCTCTGTCTCCTCTCTCTCCTGTCTCTCTCTCTGTCCTCTCTCTCTGTCTCTCTCTCTCTGTCTCTCTCTGTCTCTCTCTCCTCTCTGTCTCCTCTCTGTCTCTCTCGTCTCCTCTGTCTCTCTCTCTGTCTCTCTCTCTCTCTCTCTCCTCTTCCTCTCTCTCTCTCTCTCTCTCTCCTCTCTCTCTCTCTCTCTCTCTCTCTCTCTCTCTCTCTCTCTCTCTCTCTCTCTCTCTCTCTCTCTCTGACATAGAGATCAGAGAGAGAGAGAGAGGGATTGGCTCACATCTACAGTACCTATATAAGAAACAAACATTATGGAGCTTAACCAAGGTAAGTTTCAAACTGTTTAACTTTACTGGCTTATCCTAGGTTAAATTTATAATGTTTACTGCTACAGTACTGTATGCCAACATCAACTACATTCTATCAAAGCATTATACACCTTTATACAACTGTCTGTAAAATCATATGTAGATTTCCCCAATAAAGCTTATCTTTATTCCATCTAATTTGTACAATGGAACCCTGAATTTTGACCATAATCCGTTCCAGAAGGTAATCCATTTCGAAGTAATATTTCCCATAAGAATTAATGTAAATATGTACAGTTAATCCATTCCAGACACCCAAAATATTAACAAAATACATTTTTAAAGATTAACTATAGTTTTACATACTGAAAACAATGAGAACTAAGTAAAATGACTAATGAAATGGATAAATGAACAGTTAACATCACATTTACCTTTATTGAAGATTCTTGTTGGCATATGACCATAACACAAGGCACAGATCACTCTTTGATGTTCCTCGAGTCCATCTCACACTATGCAAAAACTCAGTGCACATAAAAGGCCCTAAAATCTGGAATTCATTACCTGTGAATATAAAAGAAACACTGTTTATAAATTCAAGTCTCCTCACAAAAATCACTTACTCACCCACAACTAAATAAATACTGAATAATTGTATCTCATAAATGTTTTTTAATTACATTACTTAACAGAATACTCCATTCTACTGAATGCTCAGCAACACAGTAAATGACCATATGACCTGTCTTTGTAATACTCATTTGTGCTAAATTGTTATCTGTTTACAATTATGTTTTTACCACTGAATATATCATTGCTTAGTTAATCTTAAGTTAATTTTAAGCCTGCCCATAATGCTCTGCATACACTGGGCTTTGGCATGTTGCACTGTAATAACTGTATTCCTTTGTACTTCACTGTATCATGTTCAAAATAATAAATAAATAAATAAATATGGAAGACAGGGAGGAGGAGAGAGGGAGGACTGATTAGTGTTTGGAAGGGGAATCCCCCCTCCATAAGGACTTAAGGTATCAAGTCCCTATGTGGAGTTACTTCCCTTCTTTATCGTTCACTGGCACTAGGACCAGCTTGAGAGTCACTGCACCCCTGTCACACAAAAAAACTGTCCAGAGAGGTCTGTTTCTCGTGTCTCTCTAAGATTTGCCCAAAGTGGAACGAGGTTTTGTCACTGAACATGTTGCAGATGTGGAATGTTTCAGATTGGTCAGGGTGATATTTCTCTACAAAACTTTGCACCTCCCTCCACTTTGCACAAATGTCCTTAATCACTGAAGAAGGCATCTTCTTCCCTCTCTCATCCTCCTCCTCTGAACCAATTTCCTCAGCTGTGGTCTGTTGCTGTTGCAGATGAAGGTCTTCCAGCTCTTCAGTGGTTAGCTCTTGGGCCCATGGTGGTTTATTTTGCAGTTGCATTCAATAAACAACCACAGAAAACAATGGATTATAACGAAATGTTTGGATGAATGCGCGGAGTGTTGCTCACTCACCGAGAGACACAGCCAGACTGACTCACGCACACGGCGTAGTGGACAGATGCGTCCAATACAGCCGATTTCCAAGTTGCCAGCCAAAATCCAAGATAGAATTTTTGCCAAAAAAGCAGCCGAAATCTGATTTGGCTGATATCCGCACCGGCTGATATCCGGGGCGCCACTGTATATTGTTCACTAGAAATAATTTAAAAAAACAAGTTGGTAGCCCCTAAGACATATCTTTAGCACAACAATTGTTTGTTTCTTAATATGCATGCTATGAAATATTTCAGGTTTGGCAACAGCAGCAGTGAAAGTGCCAACCACAGCCAGAAGACTGATGATGCCTTTGAACTTTGCAATATTAAGAGAAAGCATTCTGAGGTACAAGAAGGTAACTTGACTAACGAGGTAAGTATGACAAGTACAGTAGACCCTCATGTTACACGGTAGTTATGTTCCTGAAAATTCCATGTTAGATAAAAATCCATGTTATATAAATTGAAGAACTTGTGGGAAAAATAAGGTTGCGTTCCTGTGACCCCCTTCCCCCCCCGGCCGAACAACTTTTTTTTTAGACATCCAGATCTTGCAGAAATAAAAATGAATGTTGTTTTTGCTAAGACTACAACTGCAACAGAAATAATAATATTTACCTTAAATTGTGGTTGTTGGTGTATGTCAGTGATTGTGAATGAGAGGAGATGCATGGTGTGGCCCTACTGGGATGAGGTGGATGGTTGTTGGTTGTTGGCAGAAGTGGATGGTTGAGGATCTGGTACTAAAGTCAATGGTTGTATTTTTTTTTTTTTTTTTTTAACCGGCCGTATCCCACCGAGGCAGGGTGGTCCAAAAAGAAAAACAAAAGTTTCTCTTCAAATTTAGTAATTTATACGGGAGAAGGGGTTACTAGCCCCTTGCTCCCAGCATTTTAGTCGCCTCTTACAACACGCATGGCTTACGGAGGAAGAATTCTGTTCCACTTCCCCATGGAGATAAGAGGAAATAAACAAGAACAAGAACTAGAAAGAAAATAGCAGAAAACCCAGAGGGGTGTGCGTATATATATGCTTGTACATGTATGTGTAGTGTGACCTAAGTGTAAGTAGAAGTAGCAAGATGTACCTGAAATCTTGCATGTTTATGAGACAGAAAAAGGGACACCAGCAATCCTACCATCATGTAAAACAATTACAGGCTTTCGCTTTACACTCACTTGGCAGGACGGTAGTACCTCCCTGGGCGGTTGCTGTCTACCAACCTACTACCTAGGAATGGTTGTATTGGAGTGTGCATAAGTTGTGTAATGGATCTCTGGCTTCTTTTACCCTCCAGTACATTGTACATTGGTACTTCCAGGTTGGAGTCAGGGTCCATTGATGCAACTAGTTTTTTCATCACTTTTCTTGTGTAGTTACACATGAATGATAATAATCCCTTATCCAGTGGTTGTATTAAAGATGTTGTATTTAGAGGTAAAAATATGGTGGTACCTTGACTTACGAGTGCCCCAATTTACGAGATTTCCAAGTTTCGAGCCGTCGCTCAGTCGATATTTTGCTTTGAGTTGCAAGCCAAAATCCGAGTTACGAGCTAAAAAAAAATATTTACCGAAAATGACATTTGGCAAGAACCCCAGCCTGATTGGCACAATGAAAGGTTGTTTTGGGACTTGGTACTTATAAAACACTGCTGATGCATTCTTGCTGGAGGTAATCATGTATTTATCTTTAGTTATTCTACAAAAAAATAAAGTTGCCAAGTTTTTGACATTTGCAAAATATCTTGCCCTTTACTCCCACACAAATCCCAAAATATTGGGAATATTTCCAATATTCCAAAAGCTAATTGTAGAACAATAATTTTTTTTATGATTCCTGTCAATATTATTGCATTTACAGTGGTCCCTCGATAATCATCTGTCTCGATAGTCGTCCTTTTCGGAAACCGTCACGTTATTTCGTCCAAACATTGGCTCGCAAATGGTCGTTGACTCGCTAATCATCCTCAGTGAGTGAGGATGATCCCACGAGTTCACACAATACATTTCATAATATTCCATTTGTTTTAGTGCTTGCAACTGCTAAATAAGTCACCATGGCTCCAAAGAAACCTTTTAGTGCCAGCCCTTTGATAAAGAATGTGAGAAACACACATAATTTAAGAAAAAGTTTGTAGAAAAATACGAAGGTGGTGGTGGTAGAGTGGAAGCAGTTGTGATGGTGGTATAGGGTGGTAGTGATGGTGGTAGCAGTTGTAATAGTGGTAGAAGGTGGTAGCAGTTGTAATAGTGGTAGAAGGTGGTAGCAATGGTGGTAGCAGTTGTAACAGTGGTAGAAGGTAGTAGTGATGGTGGTAGCAGTTGTAATAGTGGTAGAAGGTGGTAGCAATGGTGGTAGCAGTTGTAATAGTGTTAGATGGTGGTAGTGATGGTGGTAGCAGTTGTAATAATGGTAGAAGATGGTAGTGATGGTGGTAGCAGTTGTAATAGTGGTAGAAGGTGGTAGTGATGGTGGTAGCAGTTGTAATAGTGGTAGAAGGTGGTAGTGATGGTGGTAGCAGTTGTAATAGTGGTAGAAGGTGGTAGTGATGGTGGTAGCAGTTGTAATAGTGGTAGAAGGTGGTAGTGATGGTGGTAGCAGTTGTAATAGTGGTAGAAGGTGGTAGTGATGGTGGTAGATGGTGGTAGACGGTGGTAGTGGTTGTGATGGTGGTAGACAGTGGTAGTGGTTGTGATGGTGGTAGACAGTGGTAGTGGTTGTGATGGTGGTAGACGGTGGTAGTGGTTGTGATGGTGGTAGAGGGTGCGTTCTTCAGTGATTCAGCGATTTACTAACTCCTCCAATGTTGTTGGAGTTATATAGGGCTACAGAAAACACCGCCGCCTCAGCTGCTGCTTCACCACCATTATGGACAGCTTACTCTCAGTGGCCCTTATACAACCAACAACAACACAACACCTCATGACAAGATAAGATTTCGTTCGGATTTTTAACCCCGTAGGGTTAGCCACCCAGGATAACCCAAGAAAGTCAGTGCGTCATCGAGGACTGTCTAACTTATTTCCACTGGGGTCCTTAATCTTGTCCCCCAGGATGCAACCCACACCAGTCAACTAACACCCAGGTACCTATTTGCTGCTAGATGAACAGGACAGCAGGTGTAAGGAAACATGCCGAAATTTTTCCACCCGCCGGGAATCGAACCCGGGCCCTTCGTGTGTGAAGCAGGAGCTTTAGCCACCAGGCCACTGGGCCACCATACATAATGACTTATTTTATTCATTCTAGAGTATATTCCATGTTTCTATATTATTAGTATGTGACCTCAGACACTCACTTGACCCTAAGAGATTTTTTGGAAAGAACACTTCAGTATCCTCCATTGCATAAGCCTTATTGGCAAGGCTTGGGAGGGAGTGACTACCAGGACTTTGAACTCTGCTAGGAGAAAATTGTGGCCAGATTGTGTCCACAAGAGGGATTTTGAAGGGTTTGTGGCTGATCCTGATGAGCCTATGTCAGTTGTGAAGTCTATTGTGGCATTGAGGAGTCCCATGGGGTTGGATGTGAGTTTGGAGGATGTGGAAGAGTTGGTGGAGAACCACAGGGAAAAGCTAACCACTGAGGAGCTGCAAGAGCTTCAGCAGGAACAGCAACAGATCGCAGCTCAGAATCTTGCTGCAGAGGAGAAGGAAGAGAGATGGAAGAAGGTGCCTTCTTCAGAAATTAAGGAGATTTTTGAAATGTGGGGTAGGATGGAAAGATTTATAGAGAAACATCATCCTGAGAAGGATGTTGCAAGCCATATCGGCAACTTGTACAGTGACAGAGTCTTGGCCCATTTTAGGGAAGTTTTAAAGAGACGCCAGAAACAGAGCTCTCTGGACAGTTTTTTTGCGAGACAGGACTCCAGTGACTCTCAACCTGGTCCTAGTGGCATTAAGAAACAGAGAAGAGAAGTAACCCCAGAAAAGGACTTGGTAGTACCTGAGGTGTTGATGGAAGGAGATTCCCCTTCCAAACAGTAACTAATCCAATGTCTCTCCTCCTCCAGTCTTCCATACACTAAGAAGAATCGCCAATAAAGGTAAGTGTTATGCTGTTAATATTTCATCATGTCCCATTGAATTGTTTATGTACTACATCTATATTTCATGTAAAAAAAATTTTGTTTTAATACTTCTGGGTGTCAGGAATGGATTAATTGTATTTACATTATTTCTTATGGGGAAAATTTATTCGAAAATCGTCTATTTCGATAATCGTTGCACTTCCAGGAACGGATTAAGGACGATAAACAAGGGACCACTGTACTTCAATAATAAATGGTGGGCTTCATGAAAAAAGTCAATAACTTACTTTGGAGATATTCATATATCACTGCACTAGTGATCTAGTGCAGTGATATATGAATATGATCTAGTGCAGTTAGCCTCTCAAAAACTCCATTTTCTCTTACTCAGGACCAAAGAACACATAGGAAGGAGCAGTAATGATGTTATACGCTTGGACTGGTCCTGGACACTCGCCATATTATGGCCTATTTTATTCATTCTAGAGTACAGTAAGGCCCCACTTATAGGGCAGGTTAGGTTCCAGGCTACTGCCATAAAGTGGAAATTGCCGTAAAGTGGAACATCCTTTTTTCCACTTGTAAATGCATAGAAATACTAGATAACAAATTTACACTAACATATATTAAGTTAGCAATAGAACTAGGCATTAAAAAAAACAATAAAAATGTAAAATACATGTATAGTACACTCATTACTTAAAATATTTGTAGTCTTAATCTAGGGTGAGATGAGTAGTATTTATTGTAAGAAATCAAGTGTGGTATGTATGGTAGCCAGCCAGGCTACCATACCAGGGAAACCCACCCACACATAATATTCTATGACATTTAAGCGTCCCAGAGCGATAAAATGCATAGACAGTTCACTCATTACTTACCTTAAAACATTTGTAGTCTTAATGTAGGGTCAGAGGTGAGTAAACGAGATAAAACAAATAAATGAGAGAGAGAGAGAGAGAGAGAATAAGTACATGAGAGAGGACAGACGCGGAGTTATGTAAACAAACCAGATGGACACGAGTTTTGTAACCAAACTAGGCGAACGTGTCTGGTTTGTGTACAGGTTGTCTCTACATTGATACAGTAGGATAAAGGGAACGCTCCCATTCTCACGTAACACCATTTTTAGAAGAATTGACACTCTGAGTGAAGGCATACGAAAGAAATAATTTTCTGCAGTTACCCCCAGTAACACATTTTCTCTTATGTTGGACTAGAGAAAATGTTATTCTTGCTGTCACTCCTACAAGTTGTCTGGCTACCACATCTCATATTTATGTTAATTTATTCTACTGTGGGGTGTATTTATCATCTTTATATATTACGTATCATGT